ACGAAAGAACATAATTCCAGCGCGTCAGTCTGGGTTTTGAGCTTACCATTCTACGATTGATCAAATTCACAGAATTGCACACATTATTGAAAAAGCAGTTGAGTAAACAAAATATGTTCTTAATATATCATAAATCATAAACAACACTAAAGCAACATATATTAGCACCGTTTAAAATTCGATTAAATAGGCGTTAAGTAAACGATTTCCTCACACCCGAGTAATCCATATTTAGTACAACAATAAGTGTATATAAAATAAAGCTATGAAATTCTGATTTATTATGTTAGCCAGCTAATGAGAATTAATGACCTTATTATTGTAAATTTTTAATTTACGGATATATAATATTTTCTGACCATATCGAATCACTTTAGCTAGCGACACCAATAAAACGCTGAAGAAAGCGTTATAGTTACCTACATATAAATATATCTACAAAGCATTCATTCATTAATTTTGCAGACTCTTTCGCAGCCACACACAAATACACACATTCACATGTATCCAACTATGATCACTTGTTTCCAACTCTCGAACGCTTTAAAGTCTGCATAAATTATTCATTTCCATTGTGTGGCAGCACAGCTTAAACTGCTATTTACATACCGATTCTCTGAGAGCGCTACTTTTACTTGTCAACACCGTTACCGGAATTCGCTTATTCAATCAAAACAAAGAAATCAAATTGTCATACACAAACGCTTAATCCGACAACGGTATTTTATCGATATGGCATTCAATTGGCTAACCGATTTTTTTTCTAGCAATTTTTTGATACTTTTTTGAATGTTGGACCATTGATGAAACGTTAAATGAAGTCAATAAAAGTAAAAGTGGAAAATCTTTGTACTTTGTGGAAATCCATTTTCGTTTGTTGGGTAATAATATTATTCGGTTTATGATATGCTTATTATGGAAAAGGGTTTATGATTTTTATGTGATTTTCGATTATCAAAATTTTGAAAGTAAATCATAAACCGGTTTAAATAGTTAAAATAATTTAAATTGGCCAAAATAATCAAATTTTTATTATTTCAAATTTATTTTTCAGTGTTTGGAAATCGAAACTCTTCTACAACCATATGTTCAAATCTATATAATAAATGTTTTTCCAAAACATGAATCGCCAGTGAGAAAAAAAATTATTTCATAGCTAAGCATACTTCAGCCGAACGATTTTTTACAAGCTTTACCTAATTTGAGGACAAATAGGTTTAGAGCATTCGAACTAGAAAACAGGGTGCGAAATACAGTTTTTCGGCACTTTTGAATACTCAGAGAGGACTAATACAGAAACCACTACCATTAAAAGTCCTTATACTGGTTCGAAAATTCTATCACTTTTCCTTTATTTAATTATTTTTATTTTAAATGTAGTATAGCAAACTGATTAATGGGTCTTACTTCTAAGGAAATGAAATAAAATTCGGTCCCCAATCTTCTTGCTCTTCCATTGAAAAGAGAGGTTGGCAATTGAAGACACAAAAGTCTCTTCTCTTAGATAAGATGATGAAAGGATGTCTAATCTCTTAGTGGTTTTAACTTATTTCATGATATGCCGCCAATGAATCCCAGGGCATAATGATATTGCTGGTAACTATGAAACAGTTGAATTGACCAGACCAGGCACCACCATACAATTAGACACCGAAAAATATGGAATTTATATGCCTCTGACTACTTGCAGCTATTTAATCAGCAAATAAATATCTTCCAAGAGGAAACTTTTTCTATGCCAATGCAAAGTTTTGTATAGAAAAAGAATCGCCATAATCAGTCGAGGGTTTCTTAATGATGTTTGCGAGTTAGCAGAAATAAAGCTTTTAGTACTGATGAATGGTTTAGAGAAGATGTAATAGACTATCAGAATTTAATGCCGTTAGTTTTACAATTACAATATCTATTCCACCTAAATACTCCAGAAGGAATTATTACAATATTCTTGTTCTCAAAAATAAACTAAGATCTTGAAATACATTGTAACCAAAATGTACGCGGAAGTTGTGGGTAAAAATATCGAGCAAACAAATTTTTTAAAATTTTTGTATTATTTCTTACCGAATTTCGAGTGCTGAATCGTTGCGAATGTTGGAAAAGGTGATCAAATTTTGTCAAAAATTTAAGCCTTCGAGTATAACAAAGTCTTCGAAGGCGATCATTGACACGCATTGTTCTGGAGGAACTTCGATCTCTTCCACTGATGAGAATATGAAAAGAGTGAAAGATAAATTCATGGATTTTACGCGATGATAATGCATCATCTCATCAAGCCACGATTGTGACCAAATTCAAAACCAAAAACGCACGCAATGAATATCATCGATCAACCACCGATTTGACGCCGCTGTGACTTTTTCTTGCTCCCCAAATTGAAATTGCCGCTCCGTGAAACCCGCTTTCAGTGTTTCGAAGAGATAAAATAAAATTCGGTGAAGGAACTAAAAATGTTTCGAGAACTGGAAAAATCGTTGGCATAAGTGTATTACATCTGCCACGCAAACTGAATAATCAAAATTAAAATAAAAAATCGTTTTAAACACTTTTTGCTGAAAAATGCATCTGTAAAAGGTATTAGCTCTTCATTGCTGCCGATATTCGGGTTTTTCTTTTTATCCTCCTTTTCAATTTCCAATGTTTTATAGTATTATTCCAAAAATTTTTCATAGAAAATAATTTAGATAGTATGCTAAGTTGACTTTAAACTAACCTAACATTGCTATAAGAAATTGTTCATATTAAATTTCCAAGCTTTTCGATGTACTCCAAAACTTTTGTTCATAGAAAACCATCCTGATAATATTCTAACCAGCTTCGTCTATCAGACAAACATCGTTTTCACTTGTTTACAAATGGTAATAAATAGCTAAAAATAGTTAAATACTTCTAAATACACATACACCTGTTGTTTTCACATATCCACAGAAACCTTACCAAAAAATCAATGCTTCCCGCAGCATTGACTGATTGCCAAGTCTCAAACACAAACAAATTGCGCTATAAGCAAAACCGTACAATAAGAAAAATACAATTTTTTTTGGTGACCCAATAAACTCTTTAAGCAGCCACAACGAATCAATCGCACCCAGTAATATTCCCAACAACACCATAAATTATCATTTACGCGCGCAAAAAACACACAAAGTCCGTCAATTTTCAAGTGCTGCGTTGCGCATGCGTGACTTGTCGAGTAGCGAGGCAAAAAATAAATAATCAACAGCAACAACAAACTACATATTAAGCCGCAAAAATCTACCTGTACGCATTAAGGTGTGTGAAATTTTTGCGCACCACAAATCAATCAAAACCACCAACGACCTTTTCATTTTCTCTTTCCGCAAACGGTATGCTTTGCATTGTTATTGTTGCTGTGAGTTGTTTTTATTGCCTCGTGTCTTTCTTTCTCATCCCGTCTTAACGCTTTCTTCGAGAACTATTGTGTGCCAATCAATAGCGATATTCAATTCAATTTACGACTTCTACAAGCGACTTTTATTTCTATTTAATCTGCACCGATACACGAGTTCGTCTTTTGAAGCCAACAATAACAACGATGGAGGCGTTTTTATGCGATTTTCTGATGATTTCTTTGCGTTGATTTTCACATTTACGCGACTCACCTGTTAATTAATAAAATTATAATAAAAAAAGGTACTAAAGGAGAGCGAAAATATTTCGGCATCACTTCTTTCGCGACACTTCTTGCTTGCTCGCTGATACTTTTCGCCTGAAATATCTAAAGCGTTCATTTTAACTCCACCACACTGGCATCCATATTTGCTAATAACTCTTAAATTTAGTTTTCTAAAGCCGTAAAAGTCATTTTCATAACTTAAGTCATAAAAGTGGTCAGATGTATAGCGATTTTATGGCATCGCCTTTAGTTCTTTAACCGCACTGCGTGCATGTAGTTATTATACTTGCCGCCACGTATCTTCATGCTGCAAAATTATGGGCTTTTAGAGGCTAAGGTAAGATAACCGCTTTAGAAATTCATTTCGTTAAATAATTTTAGAAACAAGAGAAAAATCCTAAATCGAATCACCATAATCCATAAAAAATTTCGAGTTAGAGAAGTTTTCATGAAAGGCTAAACATATATTTTTTGCTTTTTTGTTTCAATGAAAAAATATTCTAATATGTTCAGTGCTTTGTGGTGATGGTTAGTTTTATAAATATTCGTATTTAAATAGGAAAGAAATTATTTACTTAATTTTTGGATCTTATAAATGCGGCTGAGCAAATCTCATTATATACTTTAAGTTTATCTGTATTATACTTATCTATCTTAGTACTACTGCGGGAATACACTGTACAGAGTTAGGCATTAGGCAATAGTTTAAGTTGCCAAGATACCATTTGAGTGTTATGCGTTATTTGCGCGAAGCTTTTCGTGAAAAGGGGCCGGAATTACGAGCCGACAACTCTTGGTTATTCACCACTTCATTGCATGTAGTGTCATAACCATCGTATTCGTCTGATTTTACTCCGTGCAACTTCTGGCTATTCGGCAAACTCAAAGGACCGCTCCGGTCAAACAGATTTGAGTCAATTAAAGACGTTCAACTTGAACGCCTATGCGCATTGAAGGCTATTCTGGAAAGTTTACAGGAGCCAAGGGACATTATTTTTAAGGGGATGACATAAATTTTGAAGAATAAATTAATAATTTTAAAAATTTGAGCATACTCGTAGTATTTTTTGCTGATAGTGGTATATCAGTTTGAAGATAATTTTTACTGAACGAAAAGCTTCAACTAATTAAATATTGTATATTTTAGTATCATGGTCATATGGTACATATATTGCCGAAATCGTTTTTCTAAAGAATCTAACATTGAGAATAAAGATTGGATTTATTGTTCATTGATAAAATTCGTATTATTATTTCTTACGTACAAGTCATCAATAGAAGCTTAATTTTACTTTCTACTAAAATTCCTTTTTTTACACCAAACAAATAAATTTTTAATATAATATAAATGATATATTCTACTCACCTCAAAAACACTGTAAGTCAATTAATCCAAATCGCTTAAGAGCAACAAGCACTATAATCCTTGCAAGCAATATATTTATGTATTGAATGTTGATTTCTAAAAGCGGTATGTAAATGGCAAAGAAAAAGTCCAATTTTATTACGCTGTATATGTATGTTGTTTAGATGTTTATTAAATTAAGGAATTATTATTATTTAAATTATTTTT